ATACAGCCACTTGGAAAACAATATGGCAATTCCTTAAAAAGCTGGAATTAGAAATACCATTTGACCCAGCAATCCCATTACTAGGTGTATATCCAAAAGAAGTGAGAGCCAGGACAAGAACAGATACATGCACACCCATTTCATCGCAGCACTATTTACAATAGCAAAAGGATGGAAACAACCTATGTGTCCATCAACATAAGAATGGATAACCAAACTATGGTACATATACACAATGGAATACTATGCAACACTAAAGAATAATGTAGAATCTGCAAAACACTGCATAACATAGATGAACTTGGAAGACATTACGCTGAGTGAAATAAGTCAGTCACAGAAGGACAAATATATTAGATCATTATTGTAAAAAGTCAAGGAAAAGTTTATATATGTAAGGAAACTTTCTTTTTTGGTTACCAGGAGTGGGAGGTTTGGGAGGGAACATTGTGAAAAAAAAAATGCATTGACCCATGTCACTTTAGTTTTGTGTACTTCACTGTACATAAACTGTATTTCAATAAAATGTATTTAAAAATAAAAGATAAAGGCAAGATAGAAGAAAAAAAAAAAAAGATTTCCAACACCATACTCAATGGTAGAAGGCTGAATGCTTTCCTCCAAGACTAGAAACAAGACACACATGTCCCCCCTTACCACTTCTGTTCCACATCATATTCATGGACCTATGCAGTACACTAAGGCAAGAAAATGAAATCAAAGACTTAAAGATTGGTAAAACATAAAACACCAATGATAAAAATCAAAGAACACCTAAATAAATGGAGAAATATGCCATGTTCATGGGTTAGAATGTTTAATATTGTTATGATGTCAGTTATCTCCAAATTGATCTATAGATTCAAAGCAATTCCAATCAAAATCCCAGCATGATTTTATATACATATGGACAAGTTAATTTTAAAATTTGTTTAAAAAGGCAAAGAAATTAGAATAGCCAAAACAATTTTGAAAATTAAGAACAAAGTTGGAAGATTTACTCTGCATAATATCAAGATTTACTATAAAACTGCAGTAATCAAGACAATGTGTTGTTGGCAAAGGAGAGAGACACAGATCAATGAAATGGAATAGAGTACAAACCTAAATCTACACAATTAAAGTCAATTGATCTTTGACCAAAGTGCAATGAGAATTAAATGAGAAAAGAAAGTATTCCAAACAATGAGTATTAAAAAATTGGCTGTCCATATGCAGAAAATAAAATAAACCTTGACCCTTACCTCACACTATATATAAAAATTAAATCAAAATGGGCTGTAGATCCAAATACAAAATATAGAATTTTTTAAACTTCTAGGAGAAAATCTCTGTGACCTCATGTTAAGCAAAAAGTTCTTAAATTCAGCATCAAAAGCATGGTCCATAAAAGAAAATTAAATTGGTAAACTGGACTTTATCAATATGAGACTCTTTTATCCTGCAAAGACACTGTTAAAGGCAAGTGACAGACTGGTAGAATATGTTTACAAATCACACATGTGATCAAAATATTGGTGTCCAAATATATTTTGAATTCTAATGAGAAAAAGAGGAAGAAAACCTAATAAAAAGGGAACAGGGGCCTAGAAGATGTAAAGAGACTTTTTACCAAAGAAAATATATAGGTGACTAATAAGCACATAAAAATGTACTCAACATCATTAGCTGTTGCTATTGTTAGTTGCCATAGAGGTGATGCTGACTCATGACGATCCCATATGTTACAGAATAGAACTGTTCCATAGGGTTTTCTTGGCTGTAATTTAATGGAGGCAGATCAGTGATTGGGTTTAAACAACCAACCTTCAGGTTAACAGCTGAGCACAAACTACTTGCACTACCGTTAGTCATTGTTGCACACTTTTGAGTTGATTCTGACTCATAGAGACCCTATATGACAGAGTAAAACTGCCCAAAAGCATTTCCCAGGCTGTAATCTTTATGCATCTAAGGCATTTGACTGCTAACCAGAAGGCTAGCAGTTCAAACCCACCAGCCACTCCTTGGAAGGAAGATTGGGCAATCTTCTTCCATAGTGATCCGGTCTTGGAAGCCCAAGAAGAGGTTGGAGCAGACTCAATGGCAGTGAGTTTGGTTTTTTGCGTTTAAATCTTTGTGGGAAGGAGCTCTGGTGGTGTAGTGGTTAAAGTATTTGGCTGCTAACCAGAAGATCAGTGGTTGGAACCCACCAGCCACTCCATGGAACAAAGATGCTTCTGTGAAAATTTACAGCCTTGGCAACCCAAAGGGGTCACTATGAGTCAGAATCCACTCAATGGCAGTGAGTTTGGTTTGGTTTGTAATCTTTATGGGAGCAGATCGCCAGGTCTTTTCTCTCTCTCAGAGCACCACTGATCTTTTGGTTAGCAGCTGAGCACTTAACTATTGATTAGGAAAATGCAAATTAAAACCATAATAAGGGGGAAAAAAACACAAAATAAAATACCCCACACTTATTCCAATGGCTAAAATGAAAAAGACTGACCACACCAAGTGTTGATGAGGGTGTGAAGGAACTAGAGCTCTCTTATATCATTGGTAGCAATGTAAAAATGTACAATCACTTTGGAAAATACTCTGGCAAATAAGAACATGTAAAGATAATATATCTTTAGTAAGAAATAGAAATTAAAATCATAGCAAGATACTTATTTTAGAATGCCAAAAAATTTTTAAAAAATCAAAAACAAAAACCTCACAACATGAAGTACTGGCAAGGACATGTAGAAACTAGAACAGAATTCTGTACATTACTAATAGAAATGCAAAATGGTACAGCCTTTTGAGAAATATTTGGCAGTTTGTTATTAAGTTAAACATCCACTTACTATGTCACCCAGCAATCTCTTCATAGGTTTTTATCAAAGAACTAGGAGAACTCATTATCATGCAAAAACCTGTACACAGTGTTTATAGTAGCTTCATTCATAATTACTAGAAACAAGACACAACCAAGATGTCCTTCATCCATTGAATGGATTAACAAGCTGTGGTAAATCTATAGTGTGGAATGCAATTCAGCAGTAAAAATAAATAAACTACTGATGTCCATAGCAACATGGATGAATCTCAAATGCATTTTTCAAAGTGAAAGAAACTGGTTTCTTTCCAAAGGCAATCTACAGTATGATTCCATTTATATGAAATTCTAGGAAAGATAAAAATATAGTGATGTAGTATCACTGGTTGCCAGGGCTTTTGGATGGGGGAAGGAGCTGCTGCAATGGGAAAATGCAGGGAAATTTTGGGAGTGATGGAATTCTTCTGTATGGTATTATGGTGGGTATTATGGTAGGATGCTCTGCATTTGTCAAAACTAGAACTGTACACCACAAAGAATTAAATAAAGAAGAATGAACAGTGATTTGTTCTGTAGGTTTAAGCAAAGGCATTTCCTTTCCCTGAAAAAGTTACAAACCTTAACTTGATTTTAGCTGATTGTTTTCTTTCTCTCTCTTCATTAAATTTGTATTTCATTCCCCTTTGGATTTGCCTTTTGTTTTGCTAGACCACATACCCTTACGATGTTATCATGGATGGTTTATAAGTAGCAAATTTTCGGTATAGCTGTATATCTAAAGTGCTTTAATTGTCCTTACACAGAATGGTTAGTGGAGTTACACATTCTAAGTCATTGCATTCCCTCAGACTTTGAAGATTACCAAAATCAAACCCACTGCCATTAAGCTGACTCTGATTCATAGCCACTCTTTGGACAAGGCAGAACTGCCTCAGGGTTTCTGAGGCTATAAATCTTTAGGGAGGAAAAGTGCCTTATCTTTCTCCTGAGGAGTGGTTGGTGGGTTTGAACCGCCAACCTTTTGGTTAGCAGCCAAATGCTTTAACCACTATGCCCCCAGACCTCCTCTGCACCAGACCTGAGTTGAAGTAGGATACAAATGTCTTGAGATACTTTTTGGACTCATTCTTTGATGTCAGATGATTTGCAAGTGTGTCTAGACATACACAGTTTTCCTTTCACCTTACAAGTACATATGGTCAGACCCATGTTTCCCTCAGCTCTGGGAACTTTTTTTCTATTTCTCCCTTTCCTCAGTCTCTCTTTCTGTATCCTATTTGGTGAATAATGACTCTTCTGGAAGCATCTTCTATTTTTCTCGAGTTTTCTTTTACATAGTCCATTTCTGTCGTTCTGTTCTAGGTTTCAGAGACTAACTTGGCTATTTACTCCTTCTCTCTTTATCTGGTCTTTTCTACTACTCAGCCCATCTTCAGTTACGTGTGGGGAGGGTATGTCCTACAGGTGATGAATAGTGTGTGTGGGGGTGCTCTCTGCCCTGTCTTGCAGCCCCATAATGCCCAGTCACTGAGACACTGGGATTTGTGGTCTCCTCTCTTACAACATGACAGAGAATGGGGTGACTTGGAGATGTCCCTGAGTGCAGAGCAGGCTGTATGCATGCAGGGGCTTCAGGAGCACATGTTTTCCCCCATGGTGTTTGCTTAGAGAGCCAGACACCAGTCAGAGGTCAACACAGTTGTCACCCACACCAGGAATTTCACAGGCTGAGCAACTTCTTCTGTATAAATAAAGCAGCACTAATGAGGCTTCCAACACAAGTTCTAACAATAATAAGGAAGGGAAGGCTTGTTGAGTCTTGTGTTGGAGCAATACAAGCCAGAGAGGGGTATAAAAGCCTCAACAGCTCAGAGCTCCTCACACACTCACTCACATACTCACGCACACTTTCATCCTATCACTCCCCAGCCCACCACCCCCACGATGGCTGACACCTGCTGCTCCGGGACCTATGTTCCAGCTGCGTCCACCATGTCCATCTGCTCCAGTGACAGGAGCTATGGCAGTCGTGTCTGCATGCCCAGCACTTACAATGGCTCCTCCTGGGAAGTGGATGACTGCCCTGAGAGCTACTGCGAGCCCCCTTGCTGCACTTCCACCTGCTGTCAGCCCACCTGTGCACCCACTTGCTGTGCTCCAGCCCCCTGCCTAACCCTCATCTGCACCCCCGTGAGCTGTGTGTCCAGCCCCTGCTGCCAGACAGACTGTGGGTCAAGCCCCTGCCAATCAGCCTGCACCAGCTCCTGTGAGCCCTCCTGCTGCCAGCAGTCTAGCTGCCAGCCCTCATGCTGCACTACCTCCCCCTGCCAGCAGCCCTGCTGTGTGCCTGTCTGTTGTAAGCCTGTGGGTTGCAAACCAGTCTGCTGCAAGCCTCTCTGCTGCATTCCTGTCTGCTGTGGGGCCACCCCCTGCCAATCCTCCTCATGCTGCCAGCCTGCTCCCTGCACCCCCTCCTGCTGCAAACCCTCTTCCTGCATGTCTCTCATCTGCCAACCAGTGTGCAAGCCCGCCTGCTGTGTGTCCTCCTCCTCCTGCTGTGCCCCTGCCTTCTCTAGTGTGTCCTTGATCTGCCGCCCCTTGTGCAAGCCTGCCTGCTGTGTCCCCTCATCCTGCCAGAATTCCTGCTGCTGACCAGGCACTCTCCCAGGCCAACTGGACTCCAGTTTCTACTGTGGCTGCGCTCTTCCCACCCTCTCTTAGTCTGGGTCCTGATCCTGTGCTACCCCCACCTGAGGATGGAGCACCTCAATATCTCCACAGTCCTGATATGACCCTTGCCCCTTGACCTCCTGGGAAACCCCTAGCCTCTCTCCTCCCAAGTCTCTGTCACCACCTACTTTCTGGGGTTCCCTTTCTCTCCTCCCAGAGTCTGTGCTCCGTGTCACATGACCTTGATTTCCAAGCTGTCAGCATCTCATTGGGCACCTGAATAAACTCACCTTGATTACTTGATTCTATTTCCTGTTGTCACATTCTCGGGGTGGGAACACACAGTTTTGACCAGATGTTGGTCTTCCCCAGACATGAATATTCTACGACTGTGTGACTTACCTCAGAAATCACAGAGCAGATGCCTAACTCTTCTGCAAGGGTCCCTGAGACTTAGACCCCAGCCAGGAAGGCTCAGGCAGGTCCTATTTTCCTCTTGTGCCCCAAAACATGAACATGACAGGCCCTGGGAAAACCCCATTCCTCAATGCTACTGGGTGTGGCAGTAGAGGGGTCACTACTGCCTGCTCTGTGGGGTCACAGGCTCTGGGCCGTCACTTTAAAGGTCTCATCCTCACAGTATTGTTTACAGCTTCCAAGCCCCTTACACGCTTTCTGGAGTTACCACCCAGGTCCCTTTGAGGAGTTCCTCTTACCCCTCACATGAGCTCCAGGGTGGCCACCTCCTGCCATGGAAACCAAAGGGCCACATCTGTCCTCTCAGTATCCAGGACCACCAGGGGCATATGGACCCAGCTGGGCCAAGTGGACATTGCTGAATTGGGCATTAAATTAAACATGAAGGCCCTGGGAGATTTTCAACTTGTTTAGGAAAATAGTTGCATGGAATTTGGGTTATAGTTTCACACAGGAGGAGACTTGCTAAGAAAAAGGAAGAAGAATTATGCTATATAACTATGTAACATATCTGCTTTACCCTCTAGATTTAATAATTTTAAATTCTTACCCTTTTAACTATGCTCACTCACTGCCATCAAGTTGATCCCAACTCATAGCAACCTCTCCTTGGGTTTCTGAGGCGGTATCTCTACAGAAGTAGATTGCCCAATCTTCCTTCCAAGGTGGTGGGTTTGAACTGCCAGCCTTCTGGTTAGCAGTCAAATGCCTTAGGTGCTATGCCACCAGAGCAAGGATTACTAGAATATAAATGGCCGTTAAGTACAATTAAATATAAATTATTTGTATATAATCCAAATAGGAAGCACACCTACCTTAGTCTCCTGGCACTGCTGTAACACAGATACCACACATGGGTGAATAAAGAACAGGAATGTATTACCTCACAGTTGTGGAGGCTGAAAGTTCAAATCAAAGTCTCAGCTGTGTCAGTTCCTTCCTTGTGGGTAGCCCCAGGCAGAGTCTCACATGACATATGTCTTCTCCCTGTGTGTGTCTCTGTTCTGCTCTTTTTATAAGACACTACTCAGAAGGGATCAGGTTTAGGGCCCACCCTACTGTGATCTCTCCTCATTAACATAAAACATGAGAAACGCTATTTCTGCACAAGATCATATCTACAGGTACTAGGGATTATGACTTCCACTTATCTTTTCAGGGGACACAAACAATTCAATTCATTACAAGGCCGATTTTCAGAGCAGTGGGGTTTGCCAGTGTTTGGGGTTGTGATAATGGTGGGTGATGGCGATGCTTTGATTTTTGTCAGTGCTCACTGTTGACCAGGCCCTGAGGCCCCTCCCTTCTCACCGTCCCATCTCTTTCTTGCAGAAGAATGAGTACCTGCTCACCGTGGTGGCAGAGGAGAGAGGTGTGCTGCTGCTGGGGCTGCGGTACTCGGCCAACAAGCTCCACTTTCTGTTCCTCAGTGAGGATGCCTCTGGGGCCTGGCAGACCCGTGTGTCCTTCCAGAATCTAGCACTGATGGATAGCCGGTGGCACACACTGGTCTTGGCTGTGTCTGAAGGATCCTTCTCCCTCACCATGGATTGCGGCCACCCCATAGATATGTAGGTACCAGATGTGCTAGAGAAGGTTGCATGAGGTATGTTGATAGTGGCAGGATGGGGCCCATTGCCTCTCTGCTCTTTGTCCATGCCAGGCTAGCCTGGAGTACTGCCTTTGGTCCACCTGACATTGAGCAAAGTCCTCAGCATACTCCCCACACAAAACATAAACCAAACCTGTTGCCATTGAGTTAATTCTGACTCACAATGACCCAAGTGTTACAGAATAGAATGGTGCTCCATATAGTTTTCAATGGCTGATTTTTCAGAAATATATTCTAAGATGCCCTAGGCAGCTTTAAACAGCCGATCTTTCAGTTAATGGCCCATTTGCATTACCCAGGGAAACTTTTTAAACCCTCAACCAGGTCAGGTTCATGGAACCAGTAACTGGGGCAGAGAATGCTAGGGGATGAGAGGTCATCAGCAAGGTCAGATATCATCCCTGCCCTCTGGAAGGGCCATAATGGGTGGGGGACATGGACGTGGCTCAGGTCACAGGAATGCAGAGTGCATTGCCTAAGAACTGGAAAAGACTTTCAAGACAACAGAAAGAGAGGTGAACTGATTCCAGCTCGCCTCTGAGATTTGGGCTGAAATACAGAATCCAGGCTGGGCCAATCAATGTATGAGTGTAACCGAGCATTTATAAAACTAATGCTATGGGTCATAACTAGTTGTTTCATGCTTTTCCAAGCCTTACATAACAAAGGCTACTGCAAAACAGAGATTCAGTGGCTTGAAACCAGATGAAGATTTTCACTCCAAGCAGCTCTTCTGGTTTCTAGAAATGGCAGCTTGATGTGGGATGAGTGTGCATTCTGAAGACCTTATTATCATCACTACAAAGCATCAGAGGAGAGCCCTAAATAATTCAGTCTAGGGATCAGACAAAGTGGGTTCAAGATCCAAGCGCTGCTTCATGACGTTGAGCTCCTGATTGAAACTCTCTGAGATTCAGTTTACTCATCTGTGATGAGGGAGGAAATATTCACTGAGAATCCAAGTAAATGTGTAGTCTTCCTTAGTAATTTTGACACAACCAGGGATGTGTGGAAGCCTAAGTTCACTTCTTGGCTTTGTAACCACCTGTCTTCTATGGCCTGAAACTGAGTCAGCAGGGTCAGGGGTCAGTGAAGTCCCCATAGCCCATCCATTTGAAGATGACCCTTGGCCTTGGGCTTTATCTTGGCTGAGTGGAATGGTGTTTTTTTCTTCTTAGTTGCAACAGATCTAGTTTATATTAAATCTACTTGTATTTCAAGTGTAATTTTCAAAGATAGAATTTGTAATCTGGAAGCAGAATCCTTTCTTTCTGGGAAGCCTCCCTTTTTGCTCTTACCTTAGGCCTTCAACTGATTGGATGAGGCCCACTCACATTATGGAAGGTAATTGTTTTACTTAAGGCCAACCAGTTTAAATGCTGTTGTTAGCTGTCAGCTCCAACTTATGGTGACCCCATGTACAACAGAATGGCACATTGTCTGGTCTTGTGCCATCCTCATGATCATTGGTATGCTTGAGCCCAGTGTGGCAGATACTGTATATTTTGAGTGACTTCCATTCTAAAGGGCTCACCTTCCAGCACTATATTAGACAATATTCTGTTGTGAACTATAGAGTTTTCATTGGCTAATTTTTCCTAGACTTTTTTAGTCTGCAAGCTCCATTGAAACCTGTCCACCATGGATGACCCTGCTGGTATTTGAAATACCAGTGGCTTAGCTTCCAACATCACAGCAACATGCAAGACACCTCAGTATGCCAAACTGACAGACATGTGGTGGATTTAATCACTTGTAAATGCATTCACAGCAACATTTAGACTAATGTTGGCACCAAAGTCTAGCCAAGTGAATACATGAAATGCCCCTGAGACCTCCCTCTGTCCCCTTGGTGTTTGTTGGCCAGGCTATGACCACTAGCACCATTTGGTCCCTCAGGAAATGCTTTTGATGGGGAATGGTCACCCAACTGGCCACAAGGACACTTCTGTGAAAATCTCAGAGCTGGAACCCAGAGTGAGCAGAGGTGAAGCAGCTCTGCCAGCAGGGCACAGCCCCTCAACCTTCATGGGCCTCGCGGGCCACTGTGTATGTGTGGATGCTACCCAGGACTAGGGTAACCAGAAGGCCTGTGTACCAAGAGGCAGCACTGTGAGCAGAGGATGGGTGTCTGCAACAGCAGGTTTGGAGCTGACCATGCCAGCCAACTGCTGACAGAGGGCAAAAGATTCATGAGAGCAGATGCTGTGACATGGCAGCATCACAGCCTGAGGTGTACCAGGCAGCCGTGAGGCCAGCACCACATTTTCCCACCACACCAGAGGCTCTGGCCAGGCCTTTTTCTCCAGATGTGTTGTCCTCTCACCCTATCTCCAGAGTGCAGTGTCTACTCACATATCAAGACCCAGCTTGAGCCAGCACTTCCAGATACCCTCCTGGTCACCAGCAAGTGCTTCTGTTCTCCCTCCCCATGGTCTACACCGGTGCTTGGTGCAGGGTAGGCATTCTGGAGGAACCTGTGCAGGTGTCATTGCCAGCCCCTATGGGCAGCAGCTCAAGGCCACCATGAGATGGAAAACTACTGAGTGTCCCTCACTGTGCTTTTGCAGAAAAACTCTTATGCTGTGCTTGCTCCCTTTCTTTTTGTAGCAAATAGGGTGCAGCCCTGCTCTGCTATAGCCCTAAAATCACCCTCCAATGTTTTCAGAACTGCTGACATTCCCTTCCCAGCCACCCTCTCCATGCAAGGAGCCCAGTTCTTCATTGGCAGCCGGAGAAGAATGAAAGGCCTGTTCACAGTGAGTATAGAGGAGGCTGCCTGCTGAAAGTCCTTCCTACACCAGAGCTTACAAAGAACATGTGCACCACAGTCTTGCCATCATGATGTTTTACTTTAACAGATCATTGCATGTGCCAAATGGAAATGAAGGTTCAATGCCATTTCAGAAACACAGCAGGCAGATGCCCATCACAGGGCCTTTGCATGTGCTATTCCTGTCTTCTGGAACCCACTTCTCTACAATTGCCACAATTCACTCCCTTTCTACCTCTGGACCCTGCACAAAGGTCCTCTTATTGTGAAGACCTTCCTGCACTTCTCTGATAAAATGGCACTCTCCATCACAGACCCCCTCAGCCCCCTTTTCTTGCTTGCCCCCTTTTTTCCATAGCATTGACCACACTGTTGGCAAGCTATACATTCCCCTATGTTTGCTTCTTGCCTGCCTCTCTACCTAGAATATAAGCCTTATGAGGGTAAGAGGCTTTTATTTCCTGCTGTATCCCAGTGTCTGGAATTGTGCCTGGTTGCAAGTAGGCATTTAGTGAATATTCATCAATGACATGTTTACATGGATGCATAGATGGATGGATGATCCTAGCTCCTAGTTCTAAAGAATGTTAGGCTCCCTACCCCACCCCACCCCTTCCTCTGGGGACCAGATGGGGTATGCTGCAGTGATCCCAGGCCCTTCTCCAGCAGTGGTGGATCTGAATCAACTGTTCTTTTATTATTATTATTTATTTTATTTTAAAAGCTTGTTTTACATTCAACGTAACGCATACATTTAGTTTCACTCCCCATTCGCTATGTACAACCCTAACCCAGTCTCCTCCCCTCCCTACCCTACAGCCCTCCCCCTGTGTCCCTCATAATTATGCACTCCCATTTATCCTGCATTTCCCCAGTTTTAATGTTGGTCCTCTGGTGTCTCATGGTCTATTGCTCTAAGGGAGGTATTACCATAGAGTATGTGAGTGCGGGGGAGCTCTGGTAGCACAGTGCCAAAGGCACTTGACTGCTAACCAGAAGTGCAAACCCACCAGTCACTCCTTGGAAGGAAGATGGGGCAATCTACTTCCGTAGTGATACTGCCTCAGAAACCCAAGGAGGGGTCACTATGGGTCGGGTCTGACTTAACGGCATATAACAACAACAACAACAACAACATGTGGGTGCGGCATCCTGGGTTGAGTGGTCTGTGTGTGCATCTTAACTATTAGGCTGAGAGCCCACCCCTGGGGGTGAGTTTTATTCCAGACACAGAATGTATTCTAGGGCCATAGTATTGAGAGTCTCACCAGATTTCATCTGACCAGTAATTCTGGTCATTATTGAGTTTTTGGATTATGTTCCATGTTTTCCCTCCCACTCTATCTCCAGATTTGATCCTTTCCTGAGTGGTTGGCATTGGTAGCCAGGCACCATCTACTTCTTCTGGTTTGGAGGGCCATTGTGTCCTAGGGCTGATTGCTTCTAAATGCTTTTTTTTTTTTTTTTTTTTTTTTTGCATTCGGAATTGACTGTTCTTATCTCTCTCCAGGGTCTGATGCGGCAGCTGGTCCTGCTGCCTGGCTCCGACGCCACCTCCCAACTATGCCCCAGCAAGAATGCTGAGCTGGTTGTGTTGTCTATCCCTCCGATCCTGCAAGGTCTCACAGGGAAGCCAGAAGATAACGAGGTGCTAAAATATCCCTATGGTTAGTAGGGTGAAGTTCCTCTCCCCCATACTGATTGTCAACACCTCAAGAGCCTTGGCCTATGGAGGGCGAGAAACAAGGGCTCAGCCTCTCCCATACATTTCTTTCTTTGTGGCTATAGCATGAGAGGAAGCTAAAACTGGCCAAAAGAACACCCCTTTGGGTAGGCAGATGGTGCCACAGAGGTACCAGAGTTGGTCTACATTTCCTTCTGGCAGGTCCTAGTGATGACAACCCAACCCCTGCTTAGATGGTGGCATCAGTGAATATTTGCCCTCCCTGAGGATGCCCAGGCTGTTTGCAGACACTAATCCTAGAAAGTTCTCCTCTTGACCTCCACCTACTGCACCATTTAGTACCCCAGAGCAACATTTGGTGGCCATTTCTAACCTATTCTCCTATCTGTAGACATTCAAATCTCAGCCCCCTTGCAAGGCACAGTTCTATTTTACATGGATACCCAGCAGCCCAAAGAGTTTCCTTTGCTTTTCTTTCTTTTGTTTATATTTGTGTTTTCCAAATAAAAAGTTCTAACATGGACTAAATTTATTTAAATCATACCCTCTGTATTTGTTTCCTGGGGCTGCCACAAATAAATTACCACACATTTGGTGCCTTAAAACAACAGAAATTTATTCTCACAGTTTTGGAAGCCAGAAATCCAAAATCAAGGTGTCAACAGGGTTGGCTCCTTCTGGAGGTTCTGAGGCAGAATTCTTTCCATGCTGCACTTTTAGCTCCTGGTGGTTGCCAGCAACCCTTGGTGTTCCTTAGTAGCTGCATCACTCCAATTTCTGCCTCCATTTCCACATAGCCTCTCCTCTAGGTGTCTTCTCCTTTTCCTTCTCTTCTAAGGACATTCAACATAGGATTATATCAAGACTTAATTATATCTGCAAAGACATGTATGCCAAATAAGGTCACATTCTGAGATTTTGGATAGACATTCTTCTGGGAACCACAACTTAACCCACTACAGGCGCTATCATGGAGAATATGAAATCCCTGCCTCTAGTGTGACACCCTTTCCCCAGCCCACTGCACATGCCATGTGAAGTGGGGCAGCATCGTGACGCCTCCCACAGTGGGGCTGCATATGGAGCATGCCCTACCCTTAATTTCCAAGCCTGAAATGGCATTTCAAATCCCCTGAAGTCCCACTGACCTTCACTGCAGCATTTCCTCAGCAGCAGTGCTGGCCAATATACCTGAAAGGAACCTGGGGGAGGGGCAACTAGTTCAGCTCCCAGCTTCTGCCAGGATCTTGGAGAAGGCTAAGTGTGGAGTGCAGCCCACCTTGTCACACTGCGCAGTGACTTAATTAGAATGCTGTGCCTGATCCTTAATGGATGTGTAATTACCAGAAAGGATCATGGTGAAAAGGCCACAGAATTAAACAAAACTGAAGTTGAAATACACATGTGCATCCAGACAATAAGTTATAGATGTTAAGTGAGGGACAAAGGCACATTATAATCATTAAAAATTTTCAAAAGAGATGTTTACTGAATATGGAAGGAAAGGAAGTGATTCCTTTGGGGAATGGACAGAAGGGCAGGGCAAGCAAACCATTTATAAAGCTGTTAAATGACAGTTTTTGGAGTCGAGTTATAAAAATTTTAAGAGATTTTCTTTGGGAGCAAATCGAGTTGCTGCTGCAGCAAGGCAACTAACATTTAAGAAAGGATATGAAGGATTTTAATTTGAGAAGAATATTGTTGTTAGATGCCATCGAGTCAATTCTGACACCTCCCAACCCCCCAAGTGACAAAGTAGAACTGTCCCATAGGTTTGAGAATTTCCAAACCTACCTTCTCTGGAGACTTCATCACAGCAAAGCCATGAATGTGCACCTATTTCAAAGGAAAGAAAGAACACTGGTCCAAACATACAATTGATCTCCCTTCAAAATGACAGTCCCTTGACTGTAATCTTTATGGAAGCACATTGCCAGGTTTTTCTCCCATGGTTTCAAACTGCCAGCCTTTTGGTTAGCAGCCAAGTGCTTAACCACTGCACCACTAGGGCTCTGTAATAGCTAAGGTTGTGTGTCAACTTGGTTCAGCTGTGGTTCTGAGTGGGTTGGCTGCTGGATATAGTTGTTCCCCATTATGAAATTATAATCACCTCCATGGTGGAATCTGCTGTGAGATGTTAATCAGTGGAAAGGGAGCTGCCTTTAAGATGTGGCCTGCTTCCAGTATATAAGGAGAAGCTTTCAGAAAGATCCTAGCTTTTTGGCACATCTGGTTCCTGCATTGGTCTAGTCTTTATCTCAGTGTCCTGCTGGGTTGCCTGCCGATCTTGGTATTATTCCTGGACTTGAACCAGTGGTCTGCCGTGTTGCCTATGGATCTTTAGATTGTGCCATTCTACTTGCTGACCTTGGGTTCATCAGCCTCAGTAGCCAGCAGCTACATGAGTTATGAGAAGCTTCCAGCTCCAGCGGGCCTGGAATAAGAGGGAGAGCTGAAGTCCAGTGTCGAGGAGCCTTCACCCAGCCCCTAGAGCCAGCACTCTGATTTTAGACTTCTAGCTTCCTAAACTGTAAGAAAATAAATTCCTATTTGTTAAAGCCATCTACTTGTGGTATTTCTGTTATAGCAGCACTACAGAACCAAGACAGGTGCCTTCTGAGAAAGATATCTGTCTTCTTTTATAAGAAACTTGAAGAAGTTAGCTGGGAAAAAGTGACAGGTTCTGGGAAAATGTCATTTAGGCAAAGGCAGATCATTTTAAAGGGAGGGTAATTATATGTTTGGGCCCTGTGTCCTTTCTTCCCTTTTTAATAGGTGCATGTTCTTGGCTTTGCTGTGATGAAACCTCCAGAGAACGTAGGTTTGGAAAGTCCCAGTTAAATTAGGTTTACAGGTGGAAGAACCTAGGGCTGGCCTAGACAGGTTATGGCTAGTCCTGGTTGACAAAGCATTATGGTTTCCTGTAAAGGCAACTTGGACACGTAGTGGTATCTTCTGTGTCTTATTTCCCTTGTCTGTGACAAGAAAGGATAGAATCCTTCCAGTTATGGCAAAAGCAAAGGCAGGACAATGCTGCACTTAAGTGGCCCTTATCCCCAACTTGGTTTTTCCCCAAGGCACACACATGTATCCACTGGGTACTCATCCTCCCTGGTCTCTCACTCAGAAACCAATGTGAAGGTGACACTGGGGTCACAGCCCCGCTGTTCCCAACTGGAAGACGCCCAATTCTGGTTCGACATCGGTCGGAAGGGGCTCTACCTCTGTGTTGGCAGCAAGTGGATCTCCGTGTTAGCAGGTGAAGTGCTGGTGGTGCCTTGGTCATGACTCATGGCTCCCAGGGCTTAGTGCTCTGACATACCACAGTGCCTGAAACCCATACTTCTAATGTCTCTCCACAGCTCTGACACTGTGCAATGGGGTAGGTGGGCTACTGAAACATACACGGTCATGGGTCATCTCTAATTGACCACATGATGGGACTTCCAGGCTGGAATCCTTCTGAAAGTGGAAGGGGGAACTGTCAATAATTTCACCTGGAATGCAAATATTAACCAAGACCATCTCAGGCATGCCAGGACATATATCATCCCCAGAACAGAGCCTGGGCCAGAGTAATCTTCAGCAAGGGTGTCCCTCCTTGAAGGAAGAGGAAAGTGACCCACACCAACAGCAGTGGATGGACGTGTGCATTTAATTTAGAAACATTTGTCCTCCTTGGCATAACCCATGAAACAGTGGAGCTTTTAGTGTCTCTGTACCACTTCCAAACTGTGGCAGAAAAAAATAAGGAGCACAGGATCCTTCCCTTGTGGAGTGTCCTAACAGCCTCTTCTTCTCACATTCTTCCTGTCCACCATCATAGATAAGGAGGAATGAGGCCAAGGACTAAAAGTATTCTTTTTCACAGCCAGACATTTCAAAATTCCATCCTCCTTGTGGGGAAGGAGAGTAAATGTGCTAAATGTTCTCACAGGAAATGGGAATGGTCCCAACTGGGACATTCATGGGCTATTCTCTATTTTCTTTCAGTCTATCTAGGGCACAACTTTTCATAGAAACAATGAGCTTTGGAAAACCCTTTAGTAAGGATATGACATATAAATTTCATCCCATTAGTAACATCAGAGGCTCTTCACTTCATAAAACTCATGATAGCAACAAGTGGTCTACCTTGACCTTGTCTATGAGGGTAAAAACCAGTTGTTGTTGAGTTCATTCCAAGAATCTTTGTGTGGGGCAAACAGTTAATGTGCTTGGCTGCTAACCAAAAGTTTAAAGGACCAAGTGCACTCAGAGGTGTCTCAGAAGAAAGACCTGGCAACCCATTTCTAAAATGCAGTTGTGGAGCATAGTTGTACTCTAACACAAATAGGAGTGCCATGAGTTGGGGTCAAGTCAACAGCAACTGGTTTATAAGGATGAAAGGAAGCACCAAGGCCAATGGTCCTTTGTGAAACTGATCCCAACACTAATTCAATTGCTTTGGGAATCATAGATAGGGCCCCTGGGGCTTGTGCTCTCAAGAGACTGATTGACTGGGCTTTTTGGGAAATGTTAACTGAACCATGATTTTTCTCTCACAAGCCAAAGAAAAACTGGACTATGTGGAGGAGCACCAGAGCTTATTCACAACATCAGAGACCCTGGGCATTGAGGTCTTCATCATCCCTGAGGTGGGACTCTTTGTAGCAACAGCCAACCGGAAAACCACTTCCTCCATCTACAAGTGGACCGATGGGAAGTTTGTTTCATATCAGACCATCCCCACATATCAGGCACAATCTTGGAGACATTTCACCATTGGGAAAAGGGCAAGTTTGTTTGCATTCTCAATTCTTTTTTTCTTTTTTCCCTTTTTCAATTATTTTTTTTTTCTTTTTTCCCTTTTTCAATTAGCTTTCCTTCTTTCTTTCTTTCTTTTAAGTGTGATTCAGGTGGAAGTTTACAGAGCAAATTCATTTTCCATATAACAGTTCATACACATTTCGTTCCTTGACATTGATTGCAATCCCCACAATGCAACAGCTCTCTTCCAGCTTCCTCCCTATGGTTACTTTTTCCTTGTGTCCTTCTTTCCTATGTATTCCTATCCTCTGAACAATCTCCCTGTGCAGATACTGCCCTTCTGATCTCCCATGATTGATTGTTCTAAGGAGATTTCCTACCTGGTGTAAATGTTCACCTGTCTATTGTTTGGCTGGAAGCCATGGGAGTTCAATTCCAGGCCCAAAGGATCACTAGGGTCCATAGTCTTGGGAGTTTCACTAGTCTCCATGAGACCAGTAAGGCTGGTCTTTTCTTATGATTTTGGTTTCTGGATTATGTCATCGTGTGAATTCTCTACTCTTTTTTAACTTGGAAAAACCCAGGGAGTCCAAAGATTTGGGCTCCTCATGTAGGCTCCATAGGTAAAAGTATTTCTTAAGATTTCAAAATCTTGTTCAGAACATAAAAGGCATTCAAAGTCATATATATTTAGCTACACCCCTCAACCTAGAATGTGACTTTGAGAAAATAAAGACAATATAATTTCTGAGGTCATAATCAGTTCTATGGTTCTAGCTATACCCATTATATTTTTATAATTAGCCAGTTGCCATCAATTCGATTCCAATGCATGGTGACCTCATGTGTATGAGAATACAACTGTGCTCCACAAGGTTTTCAATGGCTGAGGAAGTAAATCACCTGGTCTTTCTCTGAGGTGCCTCTGGGTGGATTTGAACTTCCAGCCATTTGATTAGCAGCTGAATGCATTAACTGTGTGCACCATCCAGGGATTCCCACCCATTACCACTAATCCAAAAACAGTTATTGAGATCATTTTACTTCGACCAGAAACTTGTCCATGCAGTCAACAATGTAGAAATCTTTTCAGAGTGGAAACAGATCTGCATCCCTGATTATTCCTTCAGTCACTCCACAGACTTTGGGAACACAATATGGGAAAGACAAAATGGAGTAGTTACAAGTGTGGATGGTGTGGGACCGACCTGAGGAGGCCTTGTGTATGTGACCCTCACAGGCAGCCTCACTTTCTATAGGGGACTGGATTGAGCAGGGGGCCGGCAGGCAGGATCAGAGGGGCCTTATATATCACAACAGGGAGGACAGAATCTCTCCTCCCTGTTCCTTTTCACCATTAGATGGCAAAGACAGTCCTCTATCATCACACACCATCCCATACCTGTCCTCCAAATCATTGATTCACCCATCACATAAGTGCTGAGTCCAGCCAAGCTCTGACCTGGGCATGGAGGACAAAATAGACAAAAACTTCTGTTCTCCTATGGCCTGTAGCTGACCTCCTTCCTAGGCATGTTTCCAGGTCAACACGATGAGAAAGAGACTACAATTTTCTTTTTAATGGTTGATGACATTTTAAAGTGCTTTTTTTAATTATAAAAATTGTAAATTTACATCAAATGAAAATTAGGAAATTCAGAAAAAGAAGGAAAAAATATTTACCCCATTGCCTAAGCAAATACACAATTCATATTTGGTACACTTATTGCCACACACTTTGTGTGTACACTGCATACCAGGGTTCTGGTTCCATGTTATAGTCACATGACCTCTGTGGCCAGTGTTTCACATGACCATTACCAGAACACACCACTGTACCATGAGCCACATCTTTACTGGTGAAAGCAGGTCACTGAGATTTTTTTTTTCCTACTCATCCAGGTTAGAAAGAAAATTTCTGAGCATAAAACTTTTCCTGAATTTGGGAGGTTTTGTTTTGTTTTTAAATTTCAGATAGAGATGAAAGTAGAAATAGTGGACTAAAGAATACAGACATTTAAGGGTCTTAATTGGAGTTCTTGGGTGGTACAACCAGTTAACAAGCTTGGCTACTAACTGAGTGGTTGAAGGTTCAAGTCTACCCAGAGATGCCTCAGAAGAAAGGTCTGGTGATCTAGTTCCAAAAAATCAACCACTGAAACCCCATGGAGCACAGTTCTACTGTGACACACTCGGGGTCCCATGAATCAAGGTTGGCTTGACAACAATTTCTTTTTCCTCTCTCTCTTTCTTTTATTGTTATTTGGGTGAGCGTTAACAGAGAAAATTGGTTTTCATTCAACAATTCATACACATTCTGTTTTCTGACATTTACTGCAATCTCCATAATAGCATTCTTCACATTTCATCCCTGTACTCACCCCTTCCCTTCGTCTTTTCTTCCTACTCCCTCCTGCCTGCTTTGCTCTATCCCTGGGCAAATGCTGTTCTCTTCCTTTCATATGCTTGATTGTGCTAAAATGACTGTGTATCCTCCTGTTCACCTTATAGACCTATCGTTTGGCTTTCAGTTGAGTCATGGGAGTTAAGTTCAGTTCCCAGTTTGAAGGGTTTCTGAAGGCCATAGTCTTGGGATTCCACCAGTCTTCATCAGATTAGACAGTCTGGTCTTTTTTATGTCGTTGAGTTTTGTTCCACATTCCCCACTCCCCCTCCCCCATACCCTATCCAGGACCTCTTATTGTTATCTCTTTCAGAGAGGTCAATGGTAGTAGCCATGCACAACTAGTTCTTATGGTCTCAGGGTCGGGAAGGCTGGGGTGCATGTTCTCCATTAGTCCTTTGGACTAATTATTTCCTTACGTCTTTGATTCTCTTCATTCTTCTTTGCCCCAGACAAGGAGAGACCAATAGTTGCACCTTAGATGGCTGTTCACAATCTTTTAAGACCCCAGTCACTACTCACCAAAGTGGGATGTAGAACATTGTTTTTGTGGACTATGTTATGCCAATTGAGCTTAGTGTCCCTGAGACTATGTCCTGAGCCTCCATACCCAGTAACTCATTCCCTCAAGGTGTTTGATTATGACTGATGTTTTCATAACTTTGCCCCCTGTATGTTCTACAACATTTATGAATATATTTGAAATACATGTAGATACATAGGTAAAGGTAGCCTCTGTCAAACCTTCTTGGGTGTAGCCCCATTCACTTTCCCTCCCCTGTTCAGATTGACTATCTATATATTCATTCATAAGTAATTGTTATTAGTGTTATTGCAAGGTTGTGTATGTAATAGTATTCACCTTTAACTCTTACGCTCCTTCCTGTGTCTTCTACTACCTTGATCATTTCGTGCTGACCTCCCCTTTATTGTATATTGCCTTTCCCTTCACCCAAGTTAATATGTGTCTAGCCTCTAGTTGGTGATTTTCCCTCTCTTCCCCTCCCACCCCAGTAAACTTGGAAGAACAATTCTTTCTGTGTGTAAACTTTTTCTTAACTTTTTACAGTTGTTGTTGTTGTTGTTATGTGCCATCAAGTTGGACCAGACTCATAGCGATCCCTCCTTGGGTTTCCAAGGCAGTATCACTACGGAAGTAGATTGCCCCATCTTCCTTCTGAGGAGTGGCTGGTGGGTTTGAACTGCTAGCTTTCTGGTCAGCAGTCAAGTGTTTTATGCACTACGCTACCAGAGCTCTCACTTTTTACAGTAGTGGTCTCATAAATAATTATCTTTTGTGATTGGCTAATTTCACTCAGCACAATGTCCTTTAGGTTCATCCATGTTATGAGGTATTAGCAGATTCATCATTGTGTAGTATTCCATCATGTATGTACCATAGTTTGTTTAACCATTCATCCATTGATAGGCACTTAGGTTGTTTCCATCATTTTTGCCATTGTGAATAATGTCACAATGAACATGGATATGTATATATCTGTCAGTCTCGTGGTTCTTATTCCTCTAGGATACATATGTAACAGTGGGATTCCTAGATTATATGGTATTTCTATTTCCAACTTCTTAAGGAAGCACCATACTACTTTCTACAGTGGATTTACCATTGTACAGCCTCACCCACAGTGTATGAGGGTGCAGTCTCTCTAACTCCTTACCAGCATTTGCTGTTTTCTGTTTTTTACAACTTTGCTATTATCGCTGGGGTGAGATTATATCTCATTGTTGCTTTGATTTGCATCTCTCTAATGTCTAATGATCATGAGCATTTCTTCACATGTTTGTTAGTCATCTGAATGTCTTCTTTGATGAAATGCCAGTTCATGTCCTCTGCCCATTCTTCTTTTTTTTTTTTTTTTTCTTTTTTTGAGGTGAGCACCTGGTTTAAAATAAATAAATTCACAGATCTAGAAAGCCAGACCTGCCTGCCGCCCCTGCATCTGTATTCATCAATAATGATGTAGGTAGAGGTAGCTACTTCAGATTGGTTTCAGCTGCTCAACTGACCCTTCTGTGTCTCCATTTTTCCCAACTGTAAAAACATACCCTATGCTCTCAGACCCTGGCTCAGCCTATGCCCCTATTTCATTGGATAGAGATGATGATGTTTATAAATCTTTTGTCCCAGGCCCCTCACATAGATGGAAAGGACCAAGTGTCCTGATTGGCTCTCTTCCAGATCTTCCTGGCTGTGGCAAATTCTGAACCAAATGAGAAGGGTCAAGAGTTATCTGTCATTTACAAATGGAGGCACCGAAAGCTGAAGTTCACCCCATACCAGAGGATCACCACCCACAGCGCCCGTGACTGGGAGGCCTTCCACGTAGACGGGGAGCACTTCCTGGCTGTGGCCAACCACCGGGAAGGTATGAGTTATGGCCTTTGACTAGGAAGGGAACCTGGGAAGGGAACCTGGGAACAAGGAAGAAATCCTATCTGGGGATAGTATGCTACAGAACAGTAGGGTTAATTTTAGCCCATTAAAAAATAGTAACAAGTCACATTCAGCCTGTTTCCTTGGACTCAACTTGGACTACTGCAAAGTTGGGTCTAAGTGTGAACAGAGGTAATCATAGGTCCAACTCTTCCCTAATATGTCTAGCCAGGGAGACAGATGTGAGGTCTTGTATGGTTCCCACCAGCAGGAGCACTCAGCTCAAAATGTCCACCTGCTGTCCTCCTCATTTCAAACTAACTGCCAGTCCCCTCGGTGGAGTCTGGTGACAATAAGTGAGAAGAAGGTAGAATGTTTGAGCAACAAGCCTAGATTTCTTAGCATGGAAAGACATGCTAGGTCCACAGCTTTAGAAGGATAAGGAGATGTAGGCGTTTTTAGCAGACATTGTTTCTTTGAAAGACGTCATCTGTCTGTCTGCCCATTGTGCCTACAGCACGTGCATTTGGACACAAACTCTGTGCTATACCTCTGGGTGCAGTGGAGAGCAAAGCCTGGGAGGCACTGGGAAACCTAGTATTTGGGCAGGTACTTCCCCTGAGGGATAACCCGGAGTCCTCCCCACTCCTACCCTTTGTTTTCCTCCTATAAGCCTGAAGGGTGGGCTGGGTCTGCAGTGGCAGCTGGTCCTAGGGAGTGCCTCTGTCCCATCCCTTTGTGTCTTCATGGCCAGGCACTTACTTGAGTCTATGATTTGCCATGCCCAGCTTGCTCTGCTCATGGGCATGGGTGGGAGCCCAGGAGCTTGCCAAGCAGCACTCCCCACAGGGTGAGTGCGCCCTCAGTGGTGGGCCAAGCGTGGGGTTTCTGGGGAGCTCACGTAGGGAGAGTCCTTATAGGCAAAGGGAACAGTATGCATACAGGCTGGCCTGTGAGGAGGAGTGGGAGCAAAGGTAGGTACTGGGCCATGCTGGGAGAGGGAGGGAGGCAGAAGAGACTCTACCTCCAAGGCTGGAAATCTGCAGATCTAGTAGAGGCAGTGGAGTCCCTGGGGGCTTTAATCAGGGAGAAGTACCTGCAAAGACCCAGAGCAGGAGGTAAGGTATTGGGAAGGGGTCCTGCATTCAGGAGGGAGTGCATTGGAGGACTGAGAATGGGGTATGGGGGTGACTATAGGAGTAAATAGGCCACCTTCTCCCAGCAGCCCTGTAGCAGAGGTGATGTGGAACTGGATAGGAAGGAGGGGTCCCTGGGCAGGTCTCTGAAGTGGACCCCTGTGTACCCCACAGAAGTCCATCCCTGCCCATAACTGCAGCACCTTGCTTCCAGGTGACAACCACAACATCAACAGTGTTATCTACAAGTGGAATGTGAGAACCCAGCTCTTCGAGGCCAACCAGACCATCGCCACCTCTGGCGCATATGACTGGGAGTTCTTCACTGTGGGGCCCTACTCCTTCCTGGCTGTGGCCAATACCTTCAACGGCACTTCCACTAAGGTGTACTCCCACCTGTATATCCGGCTTGTTGGCTCCTTCCAACTCTTCCAGTCCTTTTTGGTAAGAAATGATCACTCCTCACCTCACACTGCCACCAACAACCCCCCTCCAGGGGGTCAACCAGAGCCAGGACCAGCACCAGTTTTGGGGCCTCAGCTGGAGAACCATCCCTCACTGGATATCAGATGCTGGATCCTTATCCATGTGTCTCAGTCAAGGTTCTCTAGAGAAACATAAACAGTGACACATATACATACATGCATATATATATATATATATAT